TTCAGTGGTTATTTATTTTATGTTCATTATGTTTGTCATATTTTTAATTTAATTGTGCAAAATGGCTTGAAACATATTCAGAATGAAATTTAAAGAATTAAGGATGCAGTAATTTATATCACATTTTTATATAGTAGAAAACAAGCATTCAATGAATTTTATGCTAGATTTAGAGTGACGAATACAAGAATATTTGTTAGCGATGTAGGATATAGATGGAATTTGACTTATTGATTACTGAAATCTTGCGAATGATATGAATATTTAATAATTGAATTTTATAATAGTATGCATATTAAAAATGACGAGACACTATTTTGAATGAATTTGATTATAATTTAGCTTTTAAAATTAAAAAAATTTTGACAAGTTTTTATGACTCTACAAGGATTTTATCTGGAGTGTATTATCTCATTAGCTGTATGGTAATTGAACGTCTTTATATTAATGTAAGGGCTTTTGATAAATACAAAAATGACCCTGATTTTAATAAAATTTTATTTTCTATGGAATTAAAGTTTAGAAAATATTGGGAGGATTTATTTGTGTTATTTCTTTTGGCATGCATCTTGGACCCTCAATACAATTTATTAGATATTAAATATGTAATTGATCAATTTTCAAAAGTTTTAACTTTTAACACACTTATCACTTACAAAAATTTAAAACAAACTTTATGCGAAATGTATGAATTATATATAAAATGAATGGGTGTAAATATTAGTCACCTTCTTAACCTATTCCTCCCACTAATCTTGAAAGAGAAGAAGCTGAAACACTAAATTTATTTGAAGGCATTAACACTTGTAGATATGATACAATAGGTTCTTTAGCATGTCTACCGCATGAAATCAGACATTGGCATAAGTCCAAATTCGTTGCCTACTGAATTACTTGATTACTTTAATTATCATATGCCTAGTAATGCATCAACCAGAAAATGTTGAGAAGAAGTAATTGACTTCTGACGAAAGTATGAACGACAATGGTTAGTGATATATGCGATTGTAAAAGACCTACTAACACGTTCAGTTAGCATTGTAGCTTCGAAGTCTACTTTTATTGCAGATAAGAAGATTCTGTCCGAGGTCAGGAGTCGATTGAAAGAAGATGTTTTGGAATCATTAATGTACGTGAAGGATTGATAAGACGCTCATTTCCAACAACAAAATAAGTAGCGTGTCGTCAGGTAAGTGATATTTAATTTAATTATATTAATAATGTTTGTTATTTTATAATATAATTTTTTTTTTTTTAAATTGTACACGTAACAAGTTCGAGTTTGGCCCTTGAACTCGTAGCTCGTTGGTCGAGCCGAGCTTGGCCTACGAGCTTAGTGAGTTGTTTTATTTTAGCCCTTGAACTCGTAGCTCGTTGGTCGAGCCGAGCTTGGCCTACGAGCTTAGTGAGTTGTTTTATTTTTTAAGATAAAACCATCATTTATCCTAGTTTGGGAACGGTTACTTAAATTTTGACAGAATTAAAAATTGTATACATAACAAGTTGTTCGTGTACAATTTTTTAACTCCGTATACCTAAAATTAAAGTAACTGGTCCCAAACCCGAATAAAGAATGAAGGTTTTATCTTTAAAAAAATCACTGAGCTTGAGGGGGCAAGCTCGACTTGGCCCTCAAGCAACGAGTTGAGTACAAGCTTGGCTCGTGGCTCGTAAGATTATTATAAAATTATAATTACTTATTACAATAGTTGATACACATTGTCCCTCATGTAATTTGGAAGAACGTGATTGGTCTATATCATTTCATGTAAAGTTCTTGAAAATGTTTTACTACGTGACTAAGCCCTCGAGTGAGCTGAACATAAGCTCGGCTCGTGGCTCGTAAAATTAGTATA